ACTCCCAATTTTACCCCAAATGCAGATTGCAGAATCACATAGGTTACACATCCACAATTTTACATAATGCCCAATTAGTAATTGTTGTATTCTGCTACCTTTCCTATCCCCTACTATCGCCCCTCCCCTCCCCTCCCATCTTCTCTCTCTACCCCATCTACTGTAATTCATTACTCTCCTTGTTTATTTTCCCATTCCCCTCACAACCTCTTATATGTAATTTTGTATAGCAATGAGGGTCTCTTGCCTCAGCCTCCTCAATCACTGGGATTACAGGCATGTACCACCAAGCCCAGCTTAAACTTACTCTTTTTAATAGCAATAATAGTATCCTGTTGGCTCTCTTACTTCTGAAATTGGGCAATAACTAAGCTAATGCAGCTTAGTCTATTTGGTATGAGTCTTAGAAATCAACTATTGGATTTTATTATATTTATTTTATTTTAAATCAATTTATTTAAAACTGGGGTTGTGGCTCAGTGGTACAGTACTTGCCTGGCATATGTAATGTCCTGGGTTTGAGCCCCTAGTACTATAAAAAAATATATATATATAATGTTAGGTCAAATAGATTGATTATTAAATTACTTGATACTCTATAGTTTTTTTTTTAACTTCATCTGTCACAAGCAGAGATGGGTATACATAATTCTGTCACTACTTTTGACTTGTTATTGTATTGTCCATCATTTTTACTTTTCGTATTTCAATGGTACCGTTTGAGGAACATAAAGATTTCTCACAGTTATACATTCATTTTAATTGACATTCTTTTTTTATAGTTTGTGCCTAAAATTCAACTGTGTGTCATTTGAATGTAACCTGCTGGATCTCGTTCACATTTTTCTGGGGGGCTTTTACTTGTCTTTTTGTTGTTGTTATTGTTAAATGTTGTTTAACTTTGTGTCTGTTTTTTATGTATTACATGCAGTGAAGTTTTATCCCTCCCCAACTTGATGTTTTTTTAATCAGAGATGTTTATCTAATTTTCATATGTTTAACAGATACATATCATTTTTATTTTGTAACTTATTTTCAGTTGTTATTCATTGTTTTTTTTTTTTTAATTTTCTTTCCTCTCTCTCTTTTTTTAAAGGACAGTGTTATCTTTCCTTAAAACTCATATTCAGGGCTAGGAGGGGGAAAGCTCAGTGGTAGAGTATGTGCTTTTTTAGAATGCATAGGCCTTCGGGTCAGTCCCCGGAACATACAAAAACCAACCAACCAACCAACAAACAAAAAACCAAACCAAACCAAACAAACAAGAAAATCCAAAAAATTAGTTCTAATGTTATAGAAGGTAGATGAAGTGTTTTTTTCTAAATAATCACTTATTTACCTTTTGAAATTTAAGAATTGCACACTTAAACATATATTTCTTGATTTATAAACTTTAGAACTAAAGCTATATTTGAACTCTTCTCTGTGAACAGTTAGAAAATAAACTTCCCATCAGTCACTCCTAATTTTTATTAATATTCTCTGGGATTTTTGTATAGTCTACTATAGTTAACTTATTAGTACCTTTATATTTTGTAGCTTTTCTGTTAATAGTTATATTTAAATTCTATTTTGTAAAATTTCTTATAGTATTTTTTTTCCAAATTTGTTGTTCTTTATATGTGATTAAATTTTTCTAAAATTAAATGTAAGGTTTGTTTTTGGTGCTGGGGATGGAACCCAGGGCATCATGCATGTTAATCATATAGTCTACTACTTAGCTATTATTACTTTTTAATATTTCTTAACTTTTCTGTACTTTAAGGATCAGTGACTTTTTCTACTGGTAAAATCTCACTGTAAGCAACATAATTAGCAAGCTGTTTTTTGGTACAATACTATCTAATTCTGGGTTAAATTTTTTTAAAATAATTTTTTATGGCATATATTCTATTCATGGTTTTATTCTATATCATCCCTCCTTCTCTTTGTTTGCCCCTCCTTCTTTTCTTATTTCAATGAGTGTTTGTTATCTATTATTTTAGACATCACAGTAAATACCTGAAATATGATCAAAGAGACATGATACTGCCTTCACAGAACTTCCATTCTAATTTTGGAGGCCTTAAAAAGAACAAATCCAGGCTGGCCTTGTGGCTCAGTGATAGAGCACTTGCCTCACACATGTGAGGCACTGGGTTCAAGCCTTAGTACCACATAAAAATGAATAAAGATATTGTGTCCATTTACAACTAAAATTATTTTTAAAAAAGAGAACAATTCTACCAAATATATGAGCAGATCAATAATTGTTTGTAGAGAGAGAGTGATAGGGATTAGACCTACATGACATTTAGCTGATCACTAAACAAAGAGAGGGATCCTGCAATATAAAAGGGAGGAAGAGCTTCTATTAGAGAGGAAAAACTTCCAGAAGGAGATTGGAGCTTGATATGTTAAGGCAACCAAATAAAGAATGATGCTCCTAAAATTTACTTAACTTGGTGAAAAATCGCAAAGGATAATGTTAGAAAGAGAAAGAGGACAGGTAATGGGAGATATTATAGATCTTAGATAATAGTTGGACTTTTCTTTAAATACATAAAAATCTCAGTGTAGAGTTTAGGAAAGACAGTGTTATTAATTTCTTTTGCTATTTTAAGGGGAAATGGATTGGAATGAAACATGGGTATATAGCATTTGGGAGGTATGTCTAAGCTAAAGGTAATTATAACCTCCAAAGCAGTGGCAGTGGAGATGGAGAAAAGTATGGTAGATTTTGGAGGTAGCATCTGAAGACTTGTTGATGGGGATTGGTGGCTTGAGTTTCAACAGAGCATGGACTTATGAAAGAAGAGCAAGAATGTTTATTAGCAATATTGGGGCTTTGGGAATAGAACTGAACCAGATTTTTATTACAGCTAGAAGATACATGGAAAATTCTAGTAAGAGGTATGAGGAGTTTTCTAATCAGAAAGCAGGAGTTCCTGAGGGTACCAGATTCTATAGATAGTGACCTGTGTGGGATTAGGAGACATTGAGGGCAAGAAGATGTTGACAGAATGATAATGTATACTTTGGGACCTTGGACTTCCTGCAGTCACTCCAGTGAAAAGGGCTATTAGGCAGTGTGGATATGTTCTACTGGGAAAGGAGGGCAATCGATCTAATTGTGTGGTTTTTGTTGTTCACATTTATTTATTTATTTATTTATTTATTCATTCATTCATTCATTCATTCATTCATTCATTCATTCATTCATTCATGATGCTGAGACTCAAACCCAGTGCTTCATGTATGCTACCACTGAGTCACTACCCTAGTCCCTAAATTTTATATTTTTAAAGGAAGAGCTACATCAGTTTTAAATTACTTTGTGGTGTAAAGGCCCTACTATGTGTTACATTTTCAAACTTGAAAGTAAATATAATGGGTTCATAAGCCACTTATCACTTTTTATGTACATAATAGCATTTCCCACTGGAAACAGTTCCTCTCCCCAAATATTCTCAAAGATTGTTATTTACTCTTTTAGCATATTGAAATGTATATAAAATAAGATTACCAATTACACCTGGAGTCAGACTGTGACTGAGAGTTACAACTACTTTAGGCTGTAGCTTTGATATAGATTCTTAATGAAATGTCAGTTTAGGATTCTACTAGAATGTTAATAGGACAAGAATAATCTTGCTCATTTACAGGTAAAAGAGTAATAGACTAGAAAATTATTCTTGTAAATATCTGAAATCATTCCTTGTCTTTTGTGTTGTTGTTGTATCTTTTATATGGATATTCTGTGACTATGATAGTTCTCCAGTAATTATTTCAAAATAGATTTTTTGGGGGGGGTGGGGTACCGGGAATTGTGCTCAGGGGCGCTAAACCACTCAGCCACATGCCAGCCCTTTCTTATAGTTTATGTAGAGAAGGGGTCTCAGCTGGGCATGGTGGTATGCACTTGTAATCCCAGTAACTCAGGAGGCTGAGGCTGGAGGATCATGAGTTCAAAGCCAGCCTCAGCAAGAGTGAGGCACTAAGCAACTCAGGGAGAACCAGTCTCTAAATAAAATACAAAACAGAGCTGGGGATGTGGCTCAGTGGTCCTGTGGCCCTAGGACCAAAAAAAAAGAGCTGGGGAGTGGGGGGTGGCGTCACTCTCACTGAGTTGCTTAAGGACTCGCTAATTTGTAATTTACTGAGCCTAGCTTTGAACTCATGATCCTCCTGCTTCAGCCTCCCAAACCACTGGGATTATAGGCATGTAACACTGTGCCTAGCAGAATATATGAACAACTATAATGAACATTTCCTTTTTTTATTTTCAGTATACGTAGATTATAAAGTCTATTAGATTTTAATAAATAAATAAATTAATTAATAATAAAATTTTTCTAGCAGTCTCCATATGCCCATACGTTTCAAATTCACCATTATGTAGCTCTGTTATGTCCCTTAGGTATGTTGTGCTATTGGTAACTAATTGTATTTATTTAAAAAAGTGGAAACTACGCAGAAATCCAGTATTTAAGGCAAAGGGAACAAAAGAAGAGCAGGCACCAAAGGTTGAGAAGGAAATTTTAGAAAAGAAGAAAATAAGGTGGGAATGTTCCTGTTCACTAAAGATAGATGGAAAAGGAAACCAAGTTCAGTCACCAGGATCAAATGCCACAGAAGGGCAGGTTGAGATGAAGATGGGACTGTTTGACTATTAGGAACTGGTAGCCTTACTGGGGCATTTGAATGGTGTGAGAAGAACAGTATTTCAGCGTATTGGAAAACAAATGTGAAGTCCAAGCGTAGACTTTCAGGATCTCTTAATCCTTTTCCTAGTATTCTGTATAGCCCTCGAATACTGAATTTTGAAGCACCTGTAGTTGAAGATGTTAAATACAAATCATCCATAATTCACTGCACAATTTCCAGAAATTTCTCATTTTATATTAATGTAATAATTTACAGGAAGCTAAATATTTAAAGGTTTTGAACACTTAAATCATAGCTAAACAGGAGCTTCTAATACAATGCAATTTTTCTTTCTTTCTTTTTTGTTTTTTAAGTCTTGGCTACTTATGATTCAGCAGACTGAACAACTTAGTAGGATAATGAAGACGCATGCAGAAGATCTAAACTCTGGACCCTTACACAGGCTTACCATGATGATCAAGGACAAGCAGCAGGTGAAGAAAAGTTACGTAGGTGTCCATCAGCAGATAGAGGCAGAGATGATCAAGGTTTGTCTTTCCATATTGAATTCTTTCTTCAATTTATGTTTAAACTTGATGAATATTTTTTCCTGTTTGACTTAAGAATTGTTTATTCATCATTTCCTATCAAGAAATAGATTTGGTGTTTCTAATAAGTAGTATCTTATATCTTACAAGATAAATAGTTACTTTATCTACTTGCAAAAAAGAAAAACGTGCTGCCAATTAACCTATAACAGAGTGCTTTTTGAAAATCACTTAGATTACTTTTTATCTACTGAAATAGATTTTAGCCTTTATAAAAATTAGATGTGTATCACGTAACACTGTGCATAAATAACAAAGAATAAATAATACAGAAATAGGCAAAATAATTTATTTAAGGTATTTCCAAAATTTTGTCATACTCAGATTTTGTCTTCTGGATAATTTATTAAAGCTGTTTTTGTTATGGAAGTTTATAAGCTTACAAAGAAAGAGAAGAATAGGCACATGAACTCTTCTACCCATGACCCACATAGACAACATATTTTTTTGCTTTCTCTAGTCCTACCCACTTTTTCTTCTACACTGTTAAGACCTTCTAAAAACATAACATCACCATCAATCCACCTTAAAGTGACAATAGTTAAATATCCTACATTCAAATTATTGTTGTTAAAATGTTTTTACTGTTGCTTTGTTTGAATCAGGATTCAAATGTAGTCCATACATTGCATTTGAATAGTAATTTTCTTTTAATCTGTAGGTTTTTCTTTCTGTCCCTTTAACAAAATGGCATTCATTTATTGAAGAAAGTGGATAATTTGCTCAATAGAATTGTTTTCTTCATTTTGGATTTTACTGTTTGCATCTCATGATATGATTTCTTATAATTCCTTCATTCTCCATTTTTCTTGTAAACTGAAAATTAGATTTAGAGGCTTAATGAGATTTTGTTTATTTTGGGCAAGAATATATCATGGGTGGTAATGTAGACTTTCTGTTTTTTCATATCAGAAGGTATATAATGCCGGGTTCTTTATCTTTCTGTGGTGGTAAACTTTGCTAACAGGTATCAGTCTTGTCAGCCTAATCAATATATTAGAGAACTTTCCCAGCAATCTTTTGCCTAATAATATAACCTATTGATCGATGTTTGTTACTTAGATCCGTTATTTTCTTGGGTTTTTTGAAATAGCAATATTTCACTTCTATCATTTCCTAATGAAATTTAACTAAAAGTTTTCTATAAAGAAGACTTTTCTTATCTGGTTACCCTAAAATGTATATCATATAGGAAAAGTCAGATGAATGCTTGCTTTTTAAAAAATTAATTTGCTAATTTTCACAATAATAAATTGGTTCTTTAGCAACTTAAAAGTTAACCAGTGGGGCTGGGGTTGTATCTCAGTGGTAGAGTGCTTGCCTACCATGTGTGAGGCACCAGGTTTGATTCTCAGCACTACATATAAATAAATTAAATAAATGTCCATCAACAACTAAAAAAAAAAAATTAAAAACAAAAAAGTTGTTTTTTGAGTTTTCTCTTGGAAGGACGAGAGGGCATGATTTTTGTCTTGCTCTTATTCTTAAGAAATTTATCTGTTTTCCAATAATGTGAAGTTACTTTATACAATGGTTAAATATTTTAACTTTTTCCTATTTCAAATATTTTGGTATCTTGCAAGTTAATTTGTTTAGTCTTTAGATTTTAGACAATTATAGTGTTACTCTTAATTTTCCTCTTTTGAGAAGTTTATCTGTTATCATATCATGTTGAATTTATCACTGATTTTAAGCTAATTCGTAGTTTTATTGGCTATAATTGTACAGTAAAGGGCTATAAGTAGTAAAATACATATCAATTAGTTTTTTTTGAATTCAAGTTCTTGACCAATTTAAACTTATTTATTTTTCTTTAGTTTTCACTGGTGCATTATAGTTGTATATAATGTTGGAATTTGTTCATATATAGTCACAATATCAAAATATAATTTGGCCAATATCATTTTCCAGTATTTCCCTTTTCTCTCCCCTCTTCCCTTCCTTGATTTAAATTTAAATGTTAAAAAATTCTGCATTTTATTTTTTTGACAGGTTACAAAAACAGAATTGGAGAAATTAAAATCCAGTTATAGACAGTTAATAAAAGAAATGAATTCTGCCAAAGAGAAATATAAAGAAGCTTTAGCTAAAGGTATGGAAAAATTATGAAAAAATGTGTATTTAAATAATTTTTGTTCTTGCTGTTTGAAAGTTATCTTTAAATGTAGTAGAATGATTCCATATAGTACAATTTGTATACAAAAAAACAAAAATAAACCAAAAATAGACTAATTCTCAAACTGTATAGTAAACCATACTTTGTTTTAAATGATGCAAAGTTTTGTTGAATAATTCATACTAAATGGAATTACATAGTATTTGTAATAGATGCAAGGAGTGTATAAATTTTTTTCTAGCATTTTATGTTTTATTTAATTAGAAAGTATTAAATAAGAAAAACAGTATTCTATTTGTTTAGAAATCTTAAAGAAATAGAATAAAGATTAAAATCTTTTTGTCTCTGGTATTTAAAACCCATTAAAAAAAAACCCAAAGATGATTTTATAGCTTTATTTTGGCTTTATAACTGAGTTATTTGGGTCTACATTGTCTTAGAATTTTCATAAGAGATACTAACAAGTAGAAAGGACCATGTTGGCTGTGTTTTAAAACAGAGATTTATGATTATGTTTTCTTATTGGTTACTTTTGTAATTTTGTTTCTAAATTTTTCATATATTAGATTTCAGCAGAAATTAATCAAAGATCATGAACAGAAGCTTTACTAGTGCTATAATTGAGCAGTATTTGTTTTTTGTTTAAATGTGACTAAACAGTCTTCATATGTAGATTTTTAAAACATTGCAAAAAAATATTTTTTTTTTTTGGTATTTTTAAAAATTTGTCTAACTAAATAAAAGCTCTACTGGTAACTCTAATTTTCTTTGGTTCTTATTTTACCTTTTTCTTTTACTAATGCACTTTCTCTTTTTCTTTTATTATATATTCTTTTGTTATTTTGTGGGAATAACTAAAGTAAAACGCTCCTTCATGGCTTTATCTTGCACAATGAAATTGTTGTTATTCCAATAAATTAGAATTATACTGATTTAGATATGGCTCTCCCTCCTTTTCCCTCTCCTTTTACCCTCCTCCTTGTCTTTCTTTCTTTCTTTCTTTCTTTCCTTCCTTCCTTCCTTCCTTCCTTCCTTCCTTCCTTCCTTCCTTCCTTCCTTCTTTCTTTCTTTCTTTTTTTTTTTTTTTTTACAATTCTAGTTATTGAACCCAGGGCCTTATGGATGTTAGAAAAGCACTGTTCTACGAAGTACATCCCTAGCCCATTTTTATTTTATTTTGAGTTGATATCAAAGAAGTATACAAGGGCGTAAATAGATTCCTCCAATCACTGTCACCATCACTACTAAACACAAACATACCTACAGTTTTTCATTTTTTTTGGCCATGTCAGTGCCTCTTTGCTTACAGACAGAAAAATCACCTCATAGGTTTAATAAAAATGCAAATTCCTCTAAATGTACCTTTAAAGTGAATAAGAGGAGGTGACCAAAATGAAAGAGAAACATGGATGAAGAATTATGGCTTCCACAAATTAGGTGAAGAAAATGGGTTAGGGTGAGTCAAAATTGAAAAGAATCTGTGCATGTGTTAAAGTTAAAAGGGATCAAGTTAACCTAGGTAGAAAGAGGATAATTGTGGAAGTTAGGCTGGTCAAGTGCCTCAGGCTACTTTAAGAAGACTGTTCTAAGTTATGAGAAGGGAATGGAAATTACCTGTAAATACCAGATACAAAAAAGGAGAATAGGAAAAAGGAGATAGAAAATAGCCATTGAGGGAAATCTTCCCCAGTTTCTCCTCAGCCCAGCTTCTCATAATACAGTAGTTAATCCAGTTCTTTTTCAGACCAGCTTCAATTTATACAGATTGAAAAAGCAGCACCCACCATCCCACCCCAACCAAGAAGTTCATCATTATTTGTATTTTATAGAACCTTTTAAGAAAAAAAATTAAATAACCATAAAAGTTAGAAAGACGGTATGGAGAATATTCACACTGACCACCTAGATTCAACAACTGTTAACATTCTGCCACACTGGCAGGTTCCCTATGAACCATTTGAATGTAGGTTTCAGGCATCATACCTTTGATCCCTAAGTGACTCAGCATCTATTTCCTAAGAATAGGGATATTCTTCTAATAATCCCCATAAAGTTACTATATCTAAGGAAATAATAATTCTCTACTACCATTTTTTTATATTGCCCAGCATCTTAACATAGCCCTACTAGCATTTAATATCCATTCCGTTTTCTAGTTTCCCAAATTGTCCCCACAATATCTTTTACAGCTATTTTTTTTCTGTTGTCATTATTTTCTTGTTATTTTAAACAAGGATCTGATCAAAGCAAACATACCACTTTTGATTATTGTGTCTCCTTACACTTTTTAAATATTTTCACTTAGAATAGTATTCCCCACTTTTTGTTCATGATATTATTCCCCCCCCAGAGTTCAGGACAGTTTTCCAATCAAATTTTTCATATTTTGTCTTTAATTGCTTATTCAGACAATAGTCCCTAGACTACTCACTATACTTCTTATAAATTGGGTAGGGCTAGAGGCTTGATTAGATTCAGCTTAAACATTTTTTTGGCAAGAACACTTCATAGGTGATATGTGTGCTTTATTTTATACACCCCATCAAGGGGCTTATAAGTTGGATTGTGTCACTAGTAGTGCTTGGTCAAATTTAATCACTGAAGTGGTGATCACTAGATCCCTCCCTTTTAAAGGTACCTTTACCCCATGCAATTAGTAACTCTGAAAAAATATTTTAGCATGTGTGAATTCTGTGTAACCTAAAAATCTTCCATCCATAGTTTGATATCCATTGATGATTCTTATTAATAATGATTATATCTGTAGCTCTTCAGTTGTAAAATGTGTAAAGGATAATTGGGAAAAAGAGAAAAGAGGTTTGGGGAACATATACAGAACAAGGCAAATAGGGAATAGAAAGCTGGAAATATGGAAAATAATTCTAAAAGTTTTGCTGGGGCCTTCCCTATTTATGTTCAACTATTTCCAAAGCATAAGCCCTTTAACGAAAGGCTGGCTTGAAACAATGAGTAAAGGGTAGAGAGAGCCTCTTACTTGGGGTTATCACTTTAGTAAGTATTTTAGTTAGAGGCATTTCTTGATAGCAGTTAGAATAACAAGACTTGAAAGGAAAAATGCAAATTTACTTACTGCAGATTAAAATCTGAATACTTATATATTTAAACACAAGCTTAGGTTTAAATACAAAATAATTTCGTGAGTCATAAAGCTTTTACCCGCACTAAGGTAGTGTCAAAGAGAATAATATTTTCTTTCATTGTTATTGTATGTATTAGAAAACAAATATTACTGTGGGATTTATCTCTTAGGAGACATTTCAGAGGTTGGCTGGGGTTCCCTGGTAAAGATGGGGAATTCAGGCATTCTTTGTTACAATATATGTTTTAATGACCACCTTTGATTGCCATCAACACTGTAGTTACACAAGGGAAACAAGTCAGGAATTTCTAATGTGGGTTTTAGTCTATTAATTAATTTTTAAAAAATCACAAACCAGTGAATATTTGTGTCAGGAAGTGACAAAGAGTTATCTAAATTGCTGAACTTGGCTTGTTTTGTACCATCAGGTGAGAGCAGGAGTGAGGCTAAGGTCTGTTGGACCAGTGGGTAGCAAAAACTCATCATTCCCTTCTCCTTTTTCATGTCTTACTGGTGAAGGGGAGGGATGAATATTGTGGGAATAAATCAAACAGGTATCTGGGATTGTGAGAATTGGCATTTTACAGTGTGCTTGAATGGATGCTGTTTGAATCCTGATTTGAAGATCAAGGCTTAAAATTATGAGATAATCTGTGAGATTTGTATATTTAATGCTATTAAGGAAATTTTATTATATTTTAGGTGTGATAATGAAATTGTGGTTATTTTCTTACGAGCTTCTATATTTATGATGTAAATACAGAAATATTCACAGCCAAGATACTATGTGATATCTGATATTTGCTCTTAAATACTCCAGGGGATGGGTAATAAGTAAATGAAAGTATAGTTGAAGCTTGATTGGTCATGAGTTGGTTCTTTAAGCCAATTGATAAGTATTTGGGGATGTATTGAACAAGTATTTCTACCTTTGTATAGATTTAAAATTTTTTTCATAAAAATTTAAAAAAAGAACATTGTTACAAAAGAAGAAAGCAAGTTTTCATAGATGATTCTCATCAGTGTACCTATTTCAGGATTCTTAAACTAATCTGAATCCATTATTTATCATTTTATATTTATATACTAATTAACTGGTTAGTTAATGTATTCAGTTTGTATAATAAGACTGTCTCTTATTTGATAAATACCAGAGATAAAAGATGTGGATTTTATCTTCAAGCAATTGAAAGTTGAATTTTTCAGTAAGGATTTACCCAATTAAAACAATTTGGGCCCACAGCAAAGTTGATATTGTAAGAAAATGAGCACATGCATACTTTTTACCCATATTCGCAAATTATCAAAATTTTGTCACTGTTTTGCTTTTGCTGTTTCTCTTTCTTTATCTTTCTATGCATGCATGTATGTATGTATGCATATACACATATATATAAAGTTTACTTTTGCAGAACCTCTTGAAGTAAATTATAAACATTGTAATAGTTCCCCTGAATACCCAAGTATATATTCCTTAACAACTACGACAGTTTCCAGCATATATATTATTTAACACACTTAAGAAATTTAATATTGGTACATTTCATTTATTTGTTGGTCATTTGAATCTCTTTTTTTGAGAAGTGTATGTTTAGTTTATTTGCCCACTTATTGGTTGGATTAGTATTATTTTTTTTGATGGCAATTTTTTTAGTTCTTTAGATATTTTGGGTATTAATCCTCCATTGGAGGAGTAGTTAAAAAAGATATTTGTCCATTCTATAGGCTATCTCTTCATGCTTTTAATTGTAATTATTTTGCTGTGCAGAAGCTTTTTAATTTTATTTCATCCCATTTATTAATAATTGGAATTATTTCTTGATCTTGGGAGTTCTGTTGAGAAAGTTTTTGCTTGTGCTTGTGTATTGGAGTGATG